CATCTAACCAACTTTATTAGTGTTAAAGCAGAAAGATAAGTTGGTCTGGATGTTGAAGAATCGCCAAGGTTCATAAAGACTATAAACAGAAATGCTCTGGATTAGTTATCACTGAAGCATGTGATAAAGGAATGAGGAGAGGAAGTAAACACCTTGTCCTAAATTAATCCCTTTAAGCCTAAATGAAGACGTTTGCTGCTGCCAGCATTTACAAGCCACATACCTACTGGAGGGAAGATTATATTTATACATTTTTGGGCACATAAGACAAAGATTGACCTATTTGACGACAGTGACTGACATGCTGGTGGCAGCATCATGCTGTGGGACGGTTACTCTGCTGATGCCGTCAATAAGGTGAATGAAAATGATGCAAGAGCTTCACTTCAGCCCCACTGAACATTAAAGACCTTGTTTGAAAATCCGATCAGTGACGTTAAAACAAACGATAAAAATATTAGATATATAGCAGCAAATATGCAAGAAGCTTTTACATGTAATTATTTAATTATTCCAACTAGGAAAAACAGTGAATATATGTATTTAAAGCTTATTAACACATAATGAGAGGATGGTGTCGTCAAAAACAAAAGACAACTCTAAGAAAAATCCCATTTCCTCCCCGCAGATTGAAGACCAACCACCCGGATACGAGCAGCCGCCACGCGCTCTCCCAGTGGTTCTGCCGTCTACATAATGAGGTCAACGTCCGCCTGGGGAAGCCTGAGTTCGACTGCTCTCTTGTGGACGAGAGATGGAGAGATGGCTGGAAGGACGGCTCCTGTGACTAAATAAACCGGTTCCTGCTGAAAAACCCAGCTCGCTCTGATTGAACTATTTTGTAAAGATGCTAAAATGTAGACGAGTGAGTGATATATCTCTACCTTTAGTTGTTTTGTGATGAGGTTTTGTGACAAGTTTAATTGTAAAATAAAATCTCTGTAAATCATATTTTGTTGTTTTTAAATTAATATAAAAATAAGTTATAAGTACATGTGTTTATGGGATCATTTCTTAAATGCCTCCTCTCGTGTTACTATGACAGATGTTGTTGCAAAAATGTTATTGATTCTAACTTTTATGATTTCATTTTCTTTTAGTCCGATTTTCCTAGAGGAATAATGAGCAGTCAGTATCCAACCTGCAGCTGATGAATCCTATAAAGGCCCGGTTGGATGAAGAGAAAATGGATCTAAACAGACAAAATGTAGCGTCACCATTTCACTCTATTGCAGCAAAGTGTTTTAGTGGAGCTATTGATTTTGATTTAGATACTACATGCTATATAAATATCTCAACATATTATGTCATGATATTAGAAAACTAAGTATTTAGTGCAGATATTTACAATTTTCCTGATAGATGACCGTGAATTTAAAAGATTGAAACTGTCTATTATCTCCAGATCTAAACCAGCAGATCCAGAATACCAACAGCTGTGTTCATGGACTCATTCATAGTGTGACACCTTATTTAATAATCAATGTTCAAACTACAAACCCTGGTGGGTTTTTTTTTTCTTTCCTATGCTTTAAGATTTCTTATAGAAAATGTCAAAGTGCTCATCAGAGCCCCTTAGCGATGTATGAGGTATGATGGCATCCTCACAAAATCACTTCACAAGAAAAATACTATGTAAATGAAAAATATAAGTGATTATATGAAGAAATTGATTAGGATAAAAATGTCCTTCCTGAAAAAAAAATAAAAAAATTAATAGATAACTGCTTACATTTTGAGATCAAAAGGTTGTTTGTTCAATAAGTAAATTGGTTTTTAAACAAACATCTGGCATTTAAAATACTCTTTTAATAGGCTTGCTTGATAAACAACACATTAGGTGGTAGGAAATGCTTCTTTAAACTTTTAAAAAGATGCATGCATGTGGCAATTTGGGCTATAAATGCTGAAGGATGAATAGAGACAAAGACATTTAATCATAAAGACAATAAACCTCTTAGGTGTATAGGGAATTGCTGGATTTAGGAATTTAGTATTTGTAAGTAGAAATAATAAGACCACTTATTAAATCATGATGGACATCCTCAAGATGCTTATAGTGGATTTTAATAGAACATATAAAGGAGGTCAACCCCAATTTATCTGACATCAGCTTTACTGATACTTGAGGTGTGCGTTTTTTTTTGTTGGCGGTTCTAGACAGGGGCCAATAGGGGACAGTGTCTCTGCAGAACTTGTTCTGGCCCCTGTATGGGGGTCGCCACCCCTGTGGCCACCCCTACCATTGTTTTCCCTCTAATACAGATGGTGGCAGCAGTAATACTCTCAAGTGATATATTCAAAACATTTACATTTTTTGTGGTTAATTATGCACATTAATATACTAACATCAAAAATAAGTACAGAGCTTAATAGATACTTAATGAATAAATAATCAATTTATGTAGATATTAGTGCTTGTAAATATAAGTTTTATGTAGAACGTTTATTAATAAAAGTAGGTAAGTAATGACAATGGAAAAGATTTATGCCCCAGAACTCAAAACTGAAAGAGTTTTATCAACTACACCTTTTATCTAGAAATTACGGATGTTTAAATATATGCGTCTATTTGTTAGCAAAGGCTGTAGGAAAGTATAGTTTGTTTTTATTTAGAAAATATGGATGTTTTGCTTGTTAATTTTCCTGTTGGAACAGTGCAGATTGACCCTGAGGTTCTGATGCCTGTATACTTTCGGCCACCCCTCGGTGTGCATCAGTTATTGCCTGGCCACTCTTATATATAATATCTGGCTATGCCTCTGCCCCTGTACTGAAAACACAGACTGTGTCCCAATGTCCGCCCTAATCACTATATAGGGCACTATATGTTGGTTACACCATTTTAAAGGAGTCTTGGAAAGTCTAGACTCTAGAGGATGAAAAAGTAGGGGACTTGAAATTTTCCACAATGCACCTTAAAAAGTAGTCATTGATGGTCACTAGATATGCAGATATATCCCAGAATGCTTTGCGCTGAGAGCTCTCCTCGCAAGGCATTATGATTTGCTGTCACAGCGGCTTGCTTTTGCCATAGGCTGTCGCTACTCGTCAGCGGCGACTAATAACAAAGATGCCGCAGACACCACGCAGTGAAGGAAGAGTTATGTGACCAACGGGGAGTAAAGAAGTAATCAACTGAGTTCACTATACTATAAAGTCCACTGTATAGCCCCCGCTGTATATAGTGAATGAGGGATCTAGGGGTTAGGGTGGACATTCGGAAATAGCCTTACACTAAAAAAATAGAAATATTTTTTAGTAATGTTTTTTTTTTTCAAATAAGGTGTATTTTGATGTTTGATATTTAAAAATCAAAATACTTATACCTTTGGTAGATCATAATAATGGATTGCTTAAAGGGGCAAATATGCTTATTTGAAGAAAATATTATTTTTTTAACTCAGCTTTTATAGTGTAATACTAGATAAACGAATTATGATGATATATGCAGACAGAAGAAATCGTAACTAATTTGTTCCTGGGAAAAATTTCAATTTCACCTTTTAACAATTATTTAGTAAATGCAGTTAATTATAAGCTTCAGTCACAAGATAAGATCTGTTTTTATCTGTTAGATCAGGAATCTGCAACCGTGGCTTTGTGGCTCAGTGACTTATGTGCTCTTTCCATGTTTGTTTTTTCTGCTTGTATGTTATTCTTTTACTCTGAGCCCCCATGTGGCCCCCATGTAGCCTCCTGTAAAATTAGTCTAGAAACAGCACGACCTTCATGATGTTATTGAATATTTCTCATATTTTTGTGGTGAATAATTTGCAGACGGTCCCTCCTGCATTTGTGGACCAGCCAGCCCTGCATGGGGAGAGTTGGTAGCAGAGAAGTGTCATTTTTGTAGACAGGAGTGGAGAAACCATTAGATATTTTTTATAGCATTTTCCAAAGAGAAACATTTCTAATTCTGACTACATTTAGATGGGGGGCCAGAGGTGGCCATGGCCACACTAAGCGAATCATTGACCACCCCTACCACTTTTTCCCTCTAATACAGACAGTGGCAACAGTAGTACTCTCAAGTGGAATATTTTAATTTTTCATATATTAACATTTAGACACTGTGGTTAATTATGCACATAATTATACTGAAATTAAAGATAAGTACATAATTCATGCTCTTTTCAGAACTAGATTTTGTGTTATATGGGGTAAAGAGAAAATGACGTGTCTCTACAAGTCATCTAGGAGTCTTCAGTGAAATCATAGATCGATAACTATTTTAATAAAAACTTATTAAATAATCAATTCATGTAGATACTTTTACATGTAAATATAATTTTTTGCAGAATGATTATTGATAAAAATAAGTAATGACAATGGAAAAGATGTTTGCCCCAGAACTTAAACCTGAAGGATTGTATCCACTATATGCGTCTATTTGTCAGCAAAGGCTGTAGGAAAAAAGGATAGTTTGTCTTTATTTAGAAAATATGGATGTTTTGCTCGTTAATAATTGTTGGAACAGTGTAGATTGACCCTGAGGTTCTGGTGCCTATCCTACGGAAGAGGATTAGGGCCGCTGAATTTTTCAATTTTATTTCAGTATAATATGGGAGAAAAAATATTGTGAGAAAAAAGTCAGAATTGTGAGAAAAAAGTCAGAATTGTGAGAAAAAAGTCAGAATTCTGAGAAAAAAGTCAGAATTCAGACTTTTTTCCCATATTATACTGAAATAAAATTTAAAAATCAGTTAACTTGTTTTATTTTTTCAGTGGCCCTAATCCTCTTATGCACTATCCACTTTTCGGCCACCCTTATATAAATTTTCTGGCTACGCCTCTGCATTTTAGCCTAACTTACACTTACAAACAACAACAAAAAAAGGTTAGGCCTTTCCTTTTTAAGCAGTGTAACTGGATTCAGTCGTATTAAGAGGCAGAAGTCCACTACGGTTTGGTGCTGAGAGCCTTAACCCGCCCCCCCCCCTCCCTCTATCGCAGCTCTCTGGCTCCTGCGCGTCCCTGCGCCACTGGGAGCGCGCAGGACCAGTCCCTCCATCCTGCCGCGGAGCCGGGGAGCGTGGAGCCGCGCAGAGCGCACACTGACAGAGAGCCACAGAAGATGGACGGAGTGGGATCGTTCGGAGCGGGCCGAACCGGGACCACCGTGGACCCGATCACGTTCGCTAAACAGCCTCAGACTATCCTGAGAATTCTCTCCTGGGTGAGATTCATTTATGTTGCATTTTTCCTCCTCCCGTTAATGTGTCCATGCGTGTATTTGCGTGGATCCCGTGACTTGCCCCCCCAACGCTGTAAATGTAGACAGTGGAAATAGGAAGGCTGATTAGCTGGGTGTGTGTGGAAACAGGAAAATAGAAAAAAAAGGCGAATTGCTGTGTATATTGAACAGATGTGGTGCAGGGTGTTACCAGGGCCTGCTGTTTGGCTGAATCCATCTATATCTGCTTCCACTACAGATGTTTTCCGGGCTCCAAAGTGACCTTATTGCTACTAATCTCAGGTTACACCTGCTTTATAAACACACCGCAGATTAAGGGAATCACAAACCTAATTATCAAGCAAATTAGCCCATTTTCTTAAACAAAATGTGTTTTTTTTTCCTACGTAGCCTATAATATGCTCACAGCGTAATATAAAAATCATTCTATATTTTTGAAGTGATTTTATTTCCAGCTGATGGTTTTACTGATTTACCCTACACGGTTGTCGTTCGTCATCTCACCTGTGATTGGTCCGCCACCATCATTACGCACGCGGGGCTACGGAGATGCGTCGTGATCTGACGTTCGGGTTCCACGGAGCAGCTCCTCTTTTGCAGGGAAATGGTTTCTGAAACATGCATCTTAAGTGCATGCAGTGCTCACACCACAATACAGCTTCTGGTTGTATGGGTGACTTGCTTTGTGTGCGTCTGTTTTCCTCACTAATGGATTTTTGCACAGCAGCAGTATCTGGAGATACAGTGATTCCAGAGCCACAACAAGGCAGACCTGGGCCCTAGGAAAAATTAGACTCCAGGTGTAGGTTTGCAGAGGGACCATAGGGACATGTCCCCACCAAAATTTTGGCATGACGTACTTGTCCCTACTAATAATTCTATGTGAACAACATCTTTATGATTTACAATACAGTGTTGTTGCAGCAGTCGCTTCTTTTCTCACAACTTGTATACTGAAGTCAATATTTTAAATGCTCAGTGACAGTTCCTCTTATAGTTCCCGCGCCCATGTAAATACAATAAATCTATTTGCAGTCCTTTGAATATGTTATTTTGCTTTGTTTTACAATAAAGTGTCCTGTCTGCTAATGTGGCAATAAGAATAATTGTCTTGATGCCAAAAAGAGCCCACCAGATTTTACTTTTACAAGTGAAGCAGTAGGGCTATTGCCATAGTGTTCCGCTTGATTCATGCATGTAAATAGCTTTATTGTAATTATGCAGGGAGTTTTACAGATTATATGGACACTGCAATGTAAGTAGAACAGAAGAGGAAAAACAGAAAAAAGATGAAATAAAAGAGAGATAATGATAAAAATTTTCAGCCTGCTTCATCACCTGCAAAGAGATATAAAAAGAACAGCACAACCGAAAGACATGGTACGAGACATACAAAAAAGTAACACCTAGATACTATCGCTGAAGTAGTATTATTTAATCTGACATGTACTCTGTGTTACCTGAAGATAAGAATATGGGCTTTCTGTATGGAAGTGAATCTCTGTGTACCTGGAACCAAGCATATCAAATAAAAAAAATAATAAGAGGGGGTTTACCTCTGCACACATCTATTTCTTCAAAAGAAAACATCGGATAAGTACACATACAACAGACATATTTGGTTAAAAAGTCACGTATTTACCTTCCATCATAGACATTGGTAAGCTCAAATGTAACCCTTTTCAAAGTGTTAAGATGTCCCAATTTTACATTATTCCAAGCCACTGATGCTTCAAACATTGATAAACAGCATCTTGTGTGTGTAATGCTTATAAGATTTGTATAAATGTAGCAAAAAATGCTGTTTTCTCTTTAAACTAAATGCGCCCTGATGCTCACGTCAAGCATTAAAAAAAAAAATAGGAGCATGCATAATACGTAGGACCAGTGGCATCAGACCAATTCAACTTAAGACCAATAGAGTCCTACCAAAGTTGAGATCAAATCTATGCCCTTGACTTCTGGAACCCTCTTTCAGTTGCCTTCATTATGTGTTTATTACAGCTTGTTTTAAAGCTAACATGTGAGCAAACAATATTTTTGCAGATAATCAATGGCAACTTTAAATTGAGGTCTGCATTGGTGGTTTTTCTGAGCTGTCATAACCTACTTCATGTTTTCAGGTAGGTTCTGTTTTATCGACGCCTTAAATCTTCTCTGGATGAGACCTTTGAAGCAGAATTGAATCATTGCTTAATTACAAAAAAAACTAAAAAGAATTTTATATAAGAATTTTATTTGCATCTGAATGCAAAGTGACAGATGTTGCAATCGACCCCAGACTGTTAAATTGTTTAGGTATCTTTAAATCAGTTGTGACCAATATAAAACATTTTATAGTTTATGTGATAATTCTTATCATTATAATATGCATAACTGTTTTGATTAAAATATGACAAATCAATTTTAAAGGGTTATTCATTTGCTTTGATCAGATGACAGTTATGAGTAGGCCTTATATGCAGAAGCGAACAATTCAGATTGATTTGAAACTCACAGTTTCATAAAGGCACGGACCCAGACACAGACAAAGCTGTTCCTCCTCTAACATGATGCACTTTGTTATATTTCTTTAAAAAAAAAAAAATAGAACAAATATTAAAAATACCGTCTTTGTGGTCTGTTTCTTATTAATGAGGACAGTAGCAACCGCTGTCCCTCCTTCCTGTTAAGCTCAATTTGCTAAATATTAACTTATCATCTGTTTAAACTATGTAGGTTTGGGATAAATTCCCCCTAAAACATGACCACAATAAAGTAAAAAATAACCCTTTGCAAAAACGTTCACACCCTAAAAACTGTTGTTGTTGTTTTTTTTTTTTTTTTTTTTTATAACCAATAAATCCCGTAGCAAATCTAGAATCTGCTTGCTATTCCTCTGCAGTGGTGGCCATCTTATTAAGCATGTGCAGTATGGGTGGCATTACTCTAGCTTGTTTCATATTGGAGAAAAATTCCATGTTGTGGCCTTCCACTGTTGCAATTTCCCCAATGTTTCCTCATTAAAAGCAGAACCAATTGTTATTTTATATAGAACCATGTCGGTTAGATTACTTGTACTACCTTTTGGCATATACTTGGGTTTAACATTAAAATGCAAGGAACATGAAATCATGAGAAGAATCATGTCAGGGGACAAATTAAGGGTGTGTGATTTGACAGAAAAATGTATTATGATATAAGCTTTTAATATCAATTGATATCAATGATTATTTATGTATTTTTTGTTGTTGTTGTTTTTTTACCTGTTTGAAATAAGGACTAGGGTAAAGGGGAGAATTTAAATGACAACCCCGATCTTATTTTAATATCACATTTAAAAAATAGATCAGCCCACCACCAAGCTGAGGTTCCGGCTAAATCCTTTACTTTGCCTACATCCCCCAGCATAACGTGCAGTTCTGGATTAGAGTTCAGTATAAATATACAAATGATTTTCATAAGGTATCTATTGCAATATATATTGTTATTGTTTTATTGCCCCGCCCCAGGACAAAGACCAGCATTCTTTTGACTAAATCGTAAATTAACATTTTCACCAAATTCAATTGCAAAAAGATTCCCATTTAAAAATGCTTACAAACTGTTTTGGAAACTGACTTGGCATTGAAAAGAGAGGATACTGCTGTTAAGGTAGTAATTTGAAACCCCTGTTGAGAAATTTGAGAAAATCAGTTAAATGATGCAGCTTTATGATGCTAAAAGCCATTTCATTCCACTGATTCAACCAAAGCTCTTGAGCATCTATCTGCTCAGATTACGCCCACTCATGTGATTAGGGCAGAATGTGGGGTCTGACATTATCCCATTGTGTGTCCTTTCTTCATCATATGACCCAGACCCCTAGTATGAGTGCATTCTTCTCTGTGTTGGTGCATCACATGGTCTTATTATTCCGAACAGTGTTAGTCAGCTGATCAATGTCAGATTTAAGGTTCTGAACACAGAGAAGAGGCCAAACAGGAACTGGGTGAAGAAATAGGTGCATCTGGGGAAAAAATGGGGGAAAAAAAACGATCAAGAACAGAAAAACCTTGCGGCTTTAGCAAAAGAAACCACTTTTGTTTTGGCATTTTGTATGCAGGGCGGTTTAATTCTGTAGATTAGTTGAAGCACCTATATCTTTAATCAGAAAAGGCCGATGTAGACGGGGCAATGTGATTTTAATGATCCTTGAATTAAGTTTTGTTGCTCAAAGACAAAACCAAAAGGACAAACTTGATTACCATCGAAATACATATATTTTATTGCAAAAATTTTGTTTTAGACCTAGACTTAGACAAACTATTGTCATTTTGTATGCACAGTGTATACAAAATGAAATTTCAAAGCTTACAGCTTTCCGAGACTGAATTTGCAGCAGCTTGGCAGTGAAATGAACATTTCCATTTATAACGTGCAGCATTGATCAAAATGTAAACAGTATAGGAGAGACATGGTGGAAAAGGCATTGATGTGGAAGGTTTAG